TGGATGAGTGAAAGACACTAAACAAATATTCTAACAAAAGCTTGTTCATATTAAACATCCTTTTATCATCTTTATTCCACTTGGATTTTTCGAAGTGGGAACAATATAAGCATCCTCAATAATTTTCCATAAATCGAATTGTTTAGATTGAACAAAAAGTTTGAATCTAATACACCATTGAGCATAGGAAAAGATATTCAAATGAGGAGCAATATTAATAGCATAACCTAGACTAGATGCATCATCCATATCCATAATGATTATATGCAAGAGGCAAAATACAATCAAAACTAGATTAGCACAAAAAACGATAATTTGGATCTTTAACTCAAGGCGATTAGTCCTTAAATCAAAAAGCACCAAGCTCTGATATTAATTGTTAGACCCTAGAGGGGGTGATTAGGGTCTTATGCTAATCTAATCTCTATTTTATGCCAATTAAAATTATATTGATTAATTTGATCTTGCAAGAGATATATGAGATAGATATGAACAAGAATAAGCATAAATAAGATATACGCTAAGCAAACACAAACACACGATATGTTTATGAGGTTCGGTCCCCACGACCTATGTCCCCACTCCTCATCTCGAGGAGATATCCACTATCACAATCGGTTTGGAAGCCGGAACTTCTAGACACTCGGTTTACAAGTTTACCGAAAACTCTCACACAACAAACACTATGCAATCACACTTTACACACTAAGTGTAGGATTCTAGCTCATGTCCTCCTCCTCAAGTGCTCGGATATAACCTCTCCCTAGGTTTGTCAACCGACGCCACTCCTATTGGATTAGACCTCGTCTCACGCCTCACACTTCTCTCGGTGTACAAGTATATTACAAGTGATACTCACAATAAGGGTTTAAATACATTGATTTGTTCTCGATAATGAATGAGAACACAATGAAGCTCACTCTCACTAAATCACACACCACTACCCAACAATATATTGTATGGAAATATTATAAGCTCAATAAGGTGTGTGTGATAAAAGCAAATAGAAAATATGCAACTCAATTAATATAGCTAAGATATGAAAATGAAATAATAAGCTATATGAAAATGAGTTTAGAAAACTTCTCAATAAACAAGAAGAACTGTAGAAGATGATGAGGATAAGATCCTCAGTTGGAATTGAAAGCCTCTTCTTGGTGTAGAAAAACTCTTCTTTTGAAACAGATCAATAAACAGCTTAAACACCTCTTAATCTTTTGTTAAAACACACTGTAAACAAAACTCTTAGTAAATAGAAAGAGGGAAGCACAGGGGTATTTATACTCACTCAAGACATCAGCCAAAACAACACTTAAAAGACCAAGATACCCCTAGAGAATCAAATCAGAAAACAGCCGTTGCAACACAATGATTAATTCGACGGTCGACCATGAAGAACTGGCGGTCGACCGCGAAGCACAAAGAACAGTAGAATGGTTTTGAAAAGCAGGCGGTCTGGAGGAGCCACGGTCGACCGTCACGATCGATCGTGATCCATTAAAGAGCAAAATGGGTTTCTGAACTGCTGGCGGTCGACCGTGGCGGTCGACCGCAAACTGATACGAAACATAATCAGGTTTTGAACCTATTTATGGCTGAGTTTGAAAATACATTAAAAATATTAAATCATTTCCAAAAATAGTAAAACTTTGGGGAAAGTTTCTAAATGATAAAATAAACATGTTTGAAGAGAAATTTTTGGAAATGCAATTTTCGTTTGTGAAAACTCATTGTTTTTGAAAAGTATTCATAAAACCTGTTTTTCGTGAACATAAAAATTGAACTATGACTTATAAACTTCTGTATATATATCATGCATACATTATATATATATTATGAAGTATGAAAGAGATGTAAACATGAAATAAAAACTATTATAACAAAGTTTGATAAAAAATTATTTGTATGATAGAAAAAGTCAAACTTGTGTTGTGTTTACATATTGAGCTCAAATATAGTTATACGATATATGTAAACAAAACTACTCTTATACCTAGATGATTGCGCACACATGAACTTGAATCTTTAACTCTTGATCGCCATGTGTTGAATTCATGTAAAGAGAAAAACAAACCACAAGAACTAGAAAACAGATAGCTATAAATTGTTTGACAAATCATCATCAAAACCATAGGGCCAATAGGGTTAATGGATGAAACCCATTAGCTTAACTCAACCCGAGTTAATATCTAACAACATGAAGTAACTTAGACTTATTCCAGAAAACTTAAATGTTTTTAGGGATATGTATAACAAATATGAAGATTTGGGAGACTTGTATCCAAATACATGAGATTTGGGTGACCAACATCTCAAAACCCCTAGATAATTCTACATCACCCTTCCTCCATAGCAAACATAAACCTCTCACTCCTTCCTGCACATTCAACAAAAAACGTATTCCAGGATAAATTTTAGATTCAAATGTGACGCAGCCACCTTTATTAAGCTCAGTCTCCGATAAGAAGACTACGTCAAGAGCCCTAGTTCGTAGTAAACTAAGGAGAGCACGTACCATCTGAGGGTTCCCAAGCCCCCCGGACGTTCCAAAGTATACAACTCATTGCTCCCGACAAGGCTGTTCAACATCCACCACCAATATGTCATTTCAATTTGGTAGAAAAATAGAAAAGCCAAGATATTATCCATCTAACCCTAACCTCTCTTAAATGGAGGTTACGAGGATATTACAAAATAGGCATGAGATAAAATTATATCCAATCATATCTCCTAATATCCTAACAATATCTCATAACATACTCCTTAACACTCCCCCTCAAGCTGGAGCATGTATATCATACATGTTTAGCTTGTTACCAATAAAGTACACACAATCTGATCTGTTTCGATACTTTGAAAAACTCAAAGTAGTTTTGATCTTCTTATTTTTCACTTGGATGTCTTCAATTCAGCCAATCCCTTGTAGGGCTTCACCGATCAATGATCCTTGAAGTCCTTGAAGGATCCAACAACAGATGATCTTTTTTCAGGATCCAATAATAAATGATTCTTCTTTGAATGGTCTAACAACAAATGATCTTTTCTTAAAAGATCTAACAACAAATGATCCTTTTTTTAAGAATCTAATAACAAATGATCCTTTTTTAAGGATCCGACAAATAAATGATCCTTCTTTGAAGGATCCAATAACAAATGATTCTTTTTTAGAAATCTGACAAATAAATAATCCAAGAGGTAGGGTTGATTTTGGACTCGGGCAAATATTAATGAGGTCAACGAGGCACAAGTCGATGAGGGCAGATGAGAGTGGAGCTGGCTCTAATCAAAGTGTATAGTGAATAGTAATCCGGGGGCGAACAATAACCTGTGAATAAGAACAGTGCCGCCGATCAATGAATAATAAGTCGATGGAGAGTAAATCGATGGATGAATAGCACTTGGTGACCAGTAGCCGCCGCCGAGAGAAAGCACAAAATTTTTGGCCACAAAACCCTCTTGGCGGCTCGACGTAGGCAATGAAGAAAAATGTCTCTCTAGGATCAAGAAGATGGTTCTAATACCACATAAAGAAATAGAAAAGACAAAATATTATTCATACAACCCTAACCTCTCTTAAATAGAGATTACGAGGATATTACAAGATAGTTATAAGATAAAATCATATCCAATCATATCTCCCAATACCTCAATAATATCTCATAATATATTCCTTAACAAATTTAAAGTCACTGACACTCCCTCAGTCTCGACTTTCTAGAAATCAAGAATTGATCAAGTCCTATTTCATCTACAATTAATCCTTTTATCGCCACAGCCTTTCGGTACCTCCTCGTTCTTTTTACACAATCATCTTGGTGATCGAGCATTTTTTTTTTTTTTGAAGCCTCTCATGGATATCCTGCCTAACTCGCAATCATACCCCAATCAGGGACTTTCGAATATCCAATCGTACCCCCTACCTCGCAAGAATTGCCCGATACAACTCGAAAACCAAAACGCCGCCTCATGAAGATCACTCTGAAGCTTTTACGCTGCTATTAATCTGATCCCCGGTTACAAGAAGTTGGTTGTCAAACTCCCCAGCTGGTCCACGAAGTATTGCTTTGTCCCGGTCCTAAGCGTAACAAGAATACACTGTTTGCGGCCCAATCTCGAGGTGTTTTGGGATTCCGATTTATTTCCGTCGTATCAATTACCATTTCAACAATCAACTTCTCCCATAATGATATTTATATTATATAGAATCGCCATGATATCAGTCAATTTCATTCTTTTAACTAGTTGAGATAGAATTGCGAATCGATAAAGCCCGGTAAACGAATTTTCCATCTCCAGGGGAAAACAATACCATCTTCTATCAAATAAATAACTAATTCTCCTTTCCGAGCCTCAGCTCTCACATAAAGTTCTTGTTTTGACAATTCAAAATCAGGTGAAAGTTTTTTAGTGATTATTAATCTGTAGTCTAAATTAGTCCATCCAGAATGGTTAAAACTATAGTCCAATTGGAATTTTTTTGCTCTATCAAAGCGTTGAGGATTACAAAGGGATTGTGACATACAATTGCTGATACGTCAGACGTCGACTCAACCAGTTACATATATTGAAGGAATGCAAAACTGCACGCTTTATTCAATCAAGAATGGCTAACCGGTCACAGATTGACAGCATACATAACTATCATGCATGAACTCTAGCAGATGTCAAGCAGCACATCGATGTCAAATCAACTGCAGGTATACTTTTTGATTAGTATCAAATCACCTGCAAAATGTAGGAGACGAGTTTGAACATCAAAAGTAGAAGACGGGAATACACTGAAGTCGGATTACAATCGCGCACAAATAACAGGACAAATACAAACTTTGTGATACCAAAAAGAGCATAAAATATTCAAAAATAAATAAATTATATGAAAACCCAGCAGTCAAAAACAATTTTTAAAAAATGCAACACAAGCACGCCACTCCATGATACAAGTTAAAGACCCTGCACTTCTCAACAGATCAAGAACAGATTTGCAAATTCAAACAGAGACATGTACAACCTGAAAATTACATTACGCATATAACAATTAATCGTCCTACTCTTCTCAAAGACAACACACCACCCCGCCACAATGAAACTATATATAAATAAGATATCAGGATTTAGCTAGGCTACACAACAATCTAAACCAGGGTTCCAGATTACAGTCAGGGGTCAATTTCCGGGTTTCCTCGTCATGGTACCAACACAATCAAGTAGTACAAAACATTACAAACCCTTTGTTACTATACCATTGGCAGAAGTTTAAGTAAACACTGCCAAGATTGCAAAATACAGCAGGAACTACGAATAAAACTGCGGAGCAGTTTTTACATAGTTTCCAGCAAGAAAAAGGAGACTATACCCAAAATGTGAAACATCACTTGCGGCCTTTCCTCTTTCGCTTCTTTGCACCTTTGGAAGCCTCACCATCAGATACAAGAGGAGTACTCCCACTTTCCCCAACTTTTGCTTTACCTTTATTAGAGATGCTTCCATTTACTTTGGAATCACTAGTCTTCGGGGTCCTAGTTCTGGATGACTGATTCTTGCTTACTTCATTAACCTCAGATCTAGTGGCTGTTTTGGGGGTAGAATCATCTCCTGATTTGCTGCTGCCTTTTGAGTTAGCTTTCAGTGTTTTATTTTTAGATCTTCTAGCGGATTTCGGGAGCTCATCTTTACCCTTTCCTTGACCCTTGGAAGTCATTTCCTTGGACTTGTTACCATGGTCCTCTCGCTTACTGCTAGCCTTGGGTGTTTCAATCCCAGCCTCATGGTCAGAAACATCCTTGAGTTTTCCACTAGATCTGGGTGTCCTAGTTTTATCATCACTAGCAGGTTTCCCTCTTGATTTCTTTGAGGTACCAGGAGTATCATCTAAGGATAATTTTCCAGGATTGGAAGCTCCGTTTCGCGGTCTACCTCTAGGTCTTGAAACATCTTTGCTGCCTGAATCCTTGCCACTGAGAAATACAGGCATAAATCAGAGAAAACTACAGCAACACCACCTTTCAAATTACAACTTAAGAGAAAAAAGACAAAATGGGTCCCCTGTAAACCAACCTTTTAGATTGCGCTTGCGATTTGGATTGTTTTGATGTTGTACTCAAACTGCCTTTCACCTTCTTGCTCTGAGAACTGTTTTTAAGTGGAAATTATTATCATTATACAGTTAGAAGAAGCATGGATGCTAAAAAAATATTTCTAATGTGAGTTTAGCATTGCAAGCTGTAACACCAATAAAAGTTCATGGGGTGCAAGTTCAAGCGAAGAATTCATGCATATCATCAAACAAACTGCAAGGACAAACATGGACGAAATACAATGGATGAAGATGAATGCTAAGCATAGAAGATGCAAGAAATACACGGAATTCCAATCCAAGCATATAGCTGAAAGTCTGGAATTATTCCTAGCGTATGCTAAAAATGTGGTGGGACAAACATGGAGAAACAGAAGGTTGTGTTGGAAGTTGTGGAAATATGTCAGGCAAAACTGACAGAAAAATTTTTAAATATTTATTCTTGATTGCTAATGCTTCTCTATCTGACTTCAGTCCGCAGACTTTCTCCTTTCTACACGCATAGAAATCCCCAAATTCCTCAAATATGGGCAAAGCAATATTATTTTCATCTCCTAATTTTGTCCATCAACAATGGCAGGGGACAAAACAACAAATGACATGTAGGCTGTATCAAAGCCACAGTTAAGGCAGCAAATTGATGTCGGCAGCAAAAAAGAATCTTGCAGGGTTGTTCAGTTCACCCCCCTCAAAAAAACACTAAGAAGACCCCAGGATTGGAATCTGAGCTCATGTTGCAGAACTGAGTTCCACTCAAGAATTCATGAATTATGCCTGTAAAAGCATGAACATTAAAGGTGAAAAGGAATTTGTCACAATGTCGTTGTATGTCAATATGGACTTCAGCTATGGAACAAGTGACTATCTCCTTCATTAACTACTACTTCGCGACGTACACATTTGCATATTAACTATTGCTATAACATAGACAATACATTATACAGGGTAGATACTAAAAGTTTGGTGATTTAATAGGAACACCCACCACCATTCTTTTCATTACAAAACCCCTGCCATTGAAAAACTTCCAAAGCCATTAAAAACAGCATGTGCAAGGCAGTCTTAGCTTTTCTTTCCAAGTACCCCTCAATAATGCAGCTCTTCTTCTGTTCTTCCTCAATTGAAAGACCCATCTCTCCTCTCTCAACATCAAAGCCAAGTAACAACCACCATCAATGAAGAGAACTAAGTCGGAAGAACATGGTAATCTATTTGGTGTAATTTTCAGTCTCAGTCTA